CTGGGCGTGGTGGCACGCACCTGTAGTCCCAGCTACTCGGGAGACTGAGGCAGGAGAATTGCTTGAACCCAGGAGGTGGAGGTTGCGGTGAGCCGAGATTATGCCACTGCACTCCAGCCTGGTGCCTGGCGACAGAGTGAGACTCTGTCTCAAAAAAAAGAAAAGAAAATTACCCTATGGGATAGAGGCCCCTTCCCTGACCTCTAGATGAGGTCCCAGAGGAAGCCTGGCTGTGCCCTTTAATAGACTTTTTACAGTCTTAGCTGGGCGGCATCTGCTCCACTGTGAGGTTTCTGTTCCCCACTGCAGCGCTGGTGAATCAGAGCGAGGAATCATCATTGGTTTGCACAGTGCCATTTCTAGATTTTGTTTCATAAACCTATGCCCAGTTCACATCTAGTAACAGAACGTGCTCAGACACTGTGACCGCCGTGCCAAAGCCGAGACTCCTGATTCAACTGGATAATATTTTCATGTGTAAAAATCGTGGCTTTTTAAAGACATGAAGCATATTAAAAGAATGCCTGATTCTAGCCAGTTCAAAGGTTAGAAGAGCTGGAGGCAAAGATTTACCATTTAAGGTTCAAGATCTTAAGATTTGTGATCTTAACGATTTATATATCTAAAGAGCCAAAAAAAATGAAAAACCAGTCCACTATGGCTGCCTCCTGGGCCCTTGCCTTAGCTTGGTGTAACTAAATATTGCAGATTGCATATCTAAAAACCGATTAAGTAACAGACTTCCCTGACAGACAAAATTAGGAAAAGTTTCAGTCGAATCTAGTAACATCGGATCACCCCGAATCAAGGGCAATGTACCCCGGGACTATGAAAAGAGGCCTGCCGGACAGTTTTAGTCTAACGTGACGCTCTGCTCATATCTAGGCCATCTTCACCAGGTAGGAAGCGCCTTCAGCAAGCCAAAAACACAACTCCCAAAATCAAGTAGGAAGGTAGCAAACTGAAGATTTTTGTCCCTCCAAAATTCAAATGTGGAGGCCTAAATCTCCAATGTGATGGAATTTTTTTTTCTTTTGAGACGGAGCCTTGCTCTGTCGCCCAGGCTGGAGTGCAGTGGTACAATCTTGGCTCACTGCAGCCTCCACCTCCCAGGTTCAAGTGATTCTCCTGCCTCAGCCTCCTGAGTAACCGGGACTACAGGCACATACCACCACGCCCAGCTAATTTTCTTTCTTTTTTTTTTCTTGTGGAGACATGGTTTCGCCATGTTAGCAAGGATAGTCTCCAACTCCTGATCTTGTGATCCACCCGCCTCAGCCTCCCTAAGTGCTAGGATTACAGGCATGAGCCACCTGGCCAGGCCAAGTTGATGGTATTTTAAAAGTGGGGGCCTTTGGTAGGTAATTAGCTTATGAATGGGATTAACGCCTTTATAAGAGACATTAGAGAAATGATCTCTTTCTCCACCAAGTGAGGGTGCAATGAAAACACTATGGTCTGTAAACCAGGAATACGGCCTTTGCCAAGACCACTACTATGCTGGTGCCGTGATCTTAGATTTCCAGCTCCAGATCTGTGAGAAAAGTTTCTGTTATTTAACATACGCAGTCTATGGTAATTTGTTACAGCGGCTGAAACTAAGACAGACAGCAATCCCCAACATTCATCAGAGTAACACATTTGCTTCGTAATAAATAAGCATCTTTTTTTTTTTGACGTTTTTAGAGACATGGTCTCACCGTGTTGGCCAGACTGGTCTTGAACTCCTGGCCTCAAGTGATCCATCTCAGCCTCCCAAAGTGCTGAGATTACAGGCATGAGCCATCATGACCAGCCAGATAAGCATCTTATAATTCCCATAAATTTTGGAAACTGAGTTGGTAAATGTTTAATAAAATGAAACCTGAATCTTTACAATTTTGTTATTAAGGGATATGTCAATATTTGGAATTTAGTCACATGAGACTTTAGCCTCTTCATGTAACAGTTCAGCCCTGTAATTCCAATTTAAAATATATAATTGAATTACTGATTTAGAGTTGTAATTTTAATTATATAATATTGGAAGATTTAAGTGATTTTTAGTGTTCCCATAGCTGAACTTGATTTGCTAGATTTACAACAGTTATTTAAGTACTTAGAAAGGGTTCTGTTAGTTAAAACAAACAGCCATAGTCTATAAAAGGAAAACCAAGCACATGTAAATTATAAATGAAATTTTAAGTGTTCCAGGCTGTTTATTTAGGTTTGTAGAAAGGATCAAATATTTTAAGGACCCCTTAAAAATGATTGTTAAAATTAGCTGTATTTATAAACAGAAAAATAAGATTTATAAAATGAACTTCAAAGCTTAAAAAGTACTACGCGTGGAGTTGTAACATTAATTGATTATTAATTTTTAAAACAAAAAAACTCAGTAATCTTTTCTGCACACAAGAACTACCTTGAAGGATATTTTTAAAGCCATATTTAACAACATTCTTGGGAGCTTAGTGAATGAATGAGGAAAAAGAATTATGCTCACAAAGAAAACACAGATAAAACGTATTTTTTTTTAAATATGGCCCAGAGTTAAAACTAAATAGTTTGCTTTCACTTACCCTCTCCTATCTTCCAGTAAATGCAGGAGAAATGTTTCAAGATAATGTGGATGAAGCAAAAGATCAGAATTATTCAACAAGTACTTGTTATTGAGTACCTAGTCTGTGTTTCACTCTATGGGAAAATGCAAGAATATGTGACGTTTATAATCTAGTGGGGCAGGTAAGTCTCACAAATGTGAAACAATCAAAAAACAGAATGATTCAGTTCAATAAACACTTACTGAGAGCCAGCCTTGCAAGAGATACAGTGACTGGCTCCAGGGAGGAGGAGGGGCTGGGCTCAAAAACAATAAGCTTTATAATTAAGTGCTAAATTGCGTGTTGCAGAAGTCAGATGAGAAGCATTCGAAGAGAGACACCAAAGTCTGTTGGAACAGCTAAGATTTATGGATGAGGTAAGAATTGATCCGGGCTTTGAAGGATGGAAAGGACTTCAATAGGCAAAGAAGGCGGAGCTGCAAGAGGGGTACTACGTATCTAGTGTGCAAGGAGAAGCAACAAGAGACCAGCAGATGCCACACATTGAAAGATAGTGGAATTAGACCATGGAGCCGCTTCTAAATTACACAGAACTAAAATTAAAACTAGTTACTAGGGACTAATGAAAGCAATAATAATTACTAAAAAGCAATAATAGTTACTACATTGAGAGGAGGTTGCATGAAATAAGATAAATCCTCCTCTGCCATAGCAATGAGTCAGTAGGTACTATTTAAATTTGATTCATCATAAAAACATTATGAGCATATAGTACTAAACGTTTTGTGATAAACACCAAAGGAAAAATAAAGCTAAAATAGCTTTTCTCTGGGGCGGGAACTAAGGACGAGGAGGGTGGGGGACCAGAGAATGTTGTTCATCCTAAGCTTTTCTGCACAATCTGAGTTGATACCACATGAATGTATCACTTGGATCCAAATATGAAAATTCAAAACAAATAAACTCAGCTATTAGGCCATGTTTGTTTGACCCCGAGGCAGATTTACTACTATGCTAATAAAGCGCAAGCTCTAATTCCTTCCAAGACCCACATCTAATTTTGCATTTATATACATTCTGTTTTGTTTTTTTTTTTTTAAAGGCCCTCTCACAGTCATATAAGCACTAGACCCTGGACGACCCTGGTTTGAACTAAAATCTTTTTCATTTCTCACAGTTCTCGAATGCCTTTCTTCCTAGAAAGGACCTAGTCTCTTTACTTTCAATGTTGCTTTTAATCAAGGCGTATGGTTTTAGTTACGCTAATAAATAAATTTCGCTTCAAAATAAAAATCCCTACTTGATTCAGTAAACAATATCCAGGCACTTAGATTTTTTTGTTGTTCTTGTCCATGAAAAGAGTACATTCTTTCATTGCTTTTTGTTCCTACGTGTTAAGTTTCAACTTTCAATAAAAAATTAATAAATCTGATTCCTTAATCATAAAAACTTGTTTTACACATGATTTACATGTTGCCAAACTCCATATAAAACATGACAAGGATGTGACTGACTCTATGGATGGTACCATCACACAGAAGGAGGAAGGAGCTAATCCAGTAACATACATTCAAGGATTAAACTGTAGATATGCACAATGTGTTTGGCACTGTTCATTAATATGACAACACCTTCTTCTCAAATACAGGGATTCTTAAGCATTAATCACAATATGCCAGAATTTGCACTTAGATTCTTAAAGAAATGAGCAGGGGGCCGGGCGCGGTGGCTCACGCCTGTAATCCCAGCACTTTGGGAGGCCGAGGCGGGTGGATCACGAGGTCAAGAGATCGAGACCATCCTGGTCAACATGGTGAAACCCCGTCTC